CCCGCTCCTCTCTGCTGAAGTCCTCCCAAGCACACAAGCACTTCCAGATGCCTGGATTATAGATCGGTCAGTCCCTCTGCATGTTCATTCAGCTCCATGGTGTAATAGTCCAGAGGGCGCCTGAGAATAGAGACACAGTCATGCTTTAACTCGTTCAGAGACACGACTAGGTTCCAGTCACTCAAAGTACTTCAGGAGTTTCATGGTTTCATGGTTTTAGTTTTACTGGCCAAGAATAAGAACGGGCCGGTCGAGAAATCTGCATCTCGACCACAAACTCATGACTTTCCTACATTAGCGTAAAAATGTGAAGACAGTTAAGAGGGTCTTGCTCTTTAATTCTGAACTACAGTCTGACACCAAAACCTGACATTTACTGCTGATATTTCACTATTTCAAATGTGCTATTCTACAAACTGAAAATGGGGCCACAAATATGGATTAAAGCCACACAGATTTTTATTACCTCAAATTCATAGTGATGCAACGTGTTTTCATTAGATATCAAGCTGGAAACAGGTAGCTTGGCTCCCCCCCCCCCTAAATTTAAACAAATCTGCCTACCAGCACCTCTAAAGCTCACTAGTTTGCAGGTTATGAGCTGCTATAGGACAGACTAGCTGTTTCCTCCTGCTCTCAGTCTTCATGCTACGCTGAGATAATCCTCTGTTGGCTGTAGTTTTATTTTTTACCGTAACTGTACAGACACGAGAGTGACATCAATCTTAAAGAAGCACATCTTCAGATGAAATGAGCAATATAGACTCTCAATTACACACAGTTATTTTCAAATATGCTATTCGCACTCAATCACTGTGTAATTGAAAGAGGCACCACAAGTCAAACGATTATGTTGATGATCTGGCGGTGCGATGATTTCCAGCAGACTAGCAAAGAATATAGAAATGAAATGCTGTTGACATGATGTAAAGAGGCACTAAGAAATATCTGTGATCAGTATGCACATCCAGCAGACCAGAGAGAGAGAGAGAGAGAGACGAGGAGAATAACATAAGAGGAGTTCTCACCTCCTCCTGTAGAAATACGTGAACAGAGCAGCTCCCAGTCCGAGCAGCAGGAGCACTGCCACTATGAGCCCGATCTGTAACCCCAGGGCAGACGCTAGGAGAGAGTCAAATAAACACTCAGTTACACTTTCTGTACAAGTTAATACATTAAAACATCCTGATGAAAATTTAAAGCAGCAACAGATTTTGTTCCCTTTAGATTCGACAAGCTCACGGACGGCTTCACGCAGATTTCATCACAGATTTCATTATATATGAAATCTACAATTTATGAGATCACCACCAAGGATTGGCTGCCATGCTTAGACCCTAGGGACCATACCAGAGGTTAAACAATCTGGATTTGTACAGCAGACTATTAATCGGTTGAGTTAGCGGATTAGCTTCTGTTTTCTTTTTGAAGTGATGATGATGAGCTGTGACACGTCTTAAGCGTATACTCGGCTGCCGGCTTTTGTTTTACGCTAACCTGTGCTTGTGTAACGGTCTGTGGATGGAGCAGAGCAGACGTCTCCCTGTGCAGATGAGGGCTTCATGTGCGATGTCTGGATGATGAGGGCCTTCTGATGGTCCGACAGCGCCTGGATGTTCCCCCACACTCGGAGCCACCCAGACACACAGGAAAAGTTGGCTCCTTGAGAGACGCAGAGACGGAGAAATGTTTCATTATCTACATATGAACGTGTTCGGGTCACGCTTTAGCTTGGTAGATTCTGTAAATGGGAAACAGGACGGGCGTCTGCATCTGAAGCGCACAATTTATGACAGTTACTTAGTGTACATGAGGGATGCAGGATGTGCAAGGAAATAGTCACACCTCTGTGAGAATTACTTACCACACTACACTCAGAATCTACGGACTCTACGACGGTGCCCTGCTTCAACATGACAGCTAAATTATCCCTACTTTACAACTCCATGGTAACAGCAACATCCAGTTCTCCCGCAGTGTCAGCGGTCTATTAGCTTTTCTTTACGATTCACTGAACATACGAGTCATTTCCTTTGTAGAAATCAGCCCATTTATACTGAGTGAAGGTGCCTCACCTTGGAGATACAAAGCAGAGATGCCACAGTGACACCTCTGCTCCAGATAATCAGCCACCTCCGCGACCTTCTTGCCCTGGATCAGACCACTGCAGTCTGGGAAAAACAGGGAAGAAGGATGTCAGCTTTTATAAAAGGCATATTTACTGTGACCAGTAGCTTGTTGTTGTTGAGAGGGTCATGACATGCAAAGAATCCCCAGCTGGGATCGAACAAGGGATGCCGCAGCAACAAGGCACCAGGACATACCTCATTGCTGTATTTGTGTAAACAATGTTTGTATTCATGTATATGAATGTGTAAAAAAAAAAGTTATGACGCCTCACCTGCCGACTGCTCCTGCCAGTCACTGGACAGCGGCCCGAGGCAAAGGTCAATGTGACTGGAGAAGGCGGAGCTCGGACAGAGGTTGGTGCTGTGAGGTGTGGGGGAGGAGCTTGTCCAGGAGGAGGGGCTCCTCACCTCGCAGCATGAACACCGGCTCAGGGAAACAGGACCATCTTCCACTGACCTGCACATGCAATACATGTATGAATACGAACATATACGTACAGCTGTCATAGGGATCATAAGTCTAGAATGACATGAAGCAAAACAGATGTTGGTTTGCAGGCAGTAGTTTAAGGTAATAATATATTTTGCAATATTTACATGGATTCTTTTAATACACAGAAATGCTTACCACTCAAATGCACTATGCGATGTTTAAACTTTACATGAATGCACCATTTGGAGCCCGTATGACAGCCTTAGTCGGAATCTCATTCAGCCTAATTTTGGTGAACCTGGATAATCGGCCTCATGTCCCTGGATTCACTACATCATCTCATTGTCTCCATAACAACACTGACTGTTGGCAAAGCATCCTCGTGTTCTCCTGAGCTGCAGTGATGGAATATGAACGCTGCTGTAAATAGCTACACCAACACAATCACAGTCGGGAATCAAGAGCTCTCCCCAGAAAATTGGTAAGCAGAGGTGGTCGGTGGCGCCCCCCCCCCCCCTACACCTTCATATATAGTTGATTGTGACCGATTACCTCAAAGATTTTCTACCTGGAACAAAACTCTAAAAAGGGTTTCTCCTTTCTTTCCCCCCGACACGGCTTCATGCTGATTTAATTATGTTCATTCTGGTTAAACGTTTTGTTAGATCTCAAATGTAAGGAATAATTATAGATGGTGAAGTGAATTAAGGTGTTTAAACATGTGATATGTCAGAATATTGAGTGGTTCGTAGGCGGGCTGTTTTGATTTATTCGTCTTGACGGATTAGCTGCCATGGTAATCTTTCCTTGTTAAAAGAGAACCAGCTGTGATTCAAAAAAACAAAACTGAGTAGGAACCAAAGTCTTTCCTTCGTTGGCCTCAACTCAATTAAGATGAAGGCTTTTATATGACATTTTCAGCAGGCTGGTTATAGCCTTAATTGGGTTGAAGACTTAAAATGAGTGTTACAGTTCAAACATGTAAAAGTTGTCAGTTATTCGCATTGTTCTCCTGTGTTTACCTGGCAGCTGGAATGACTTGTCTCCCTCTGGTGGTGGACAGAGAGGAGAGCAGCTGCTGGTTTTCACTGAACACCAGCACATCTCTGAGGCTGGAATTTGTCAGAGCAGTGCCAGCTCTACAGACACTGAACAGGTCATAGCACAGGACTACTGCTCCTCGTACCGGCACCGCGGAGCCCTCCAGGAAAGTCTGATCTATGCCGGAGAGAGAGGAGGTGAAGCAGTATAGGGAGAATGGGTACAAAACAAGAAAAAGAAGAGGGGAAAGGACAGAGAGAGAGAGAGAGAGAGAGAGAGAGAGAGAGAGAGAGAGAGAGAGAGGGAGAGTCATTAAGAATGAGGTTGAAGGAATGACGTTTTTCTTAGTTTTGTCTTCCTAAAAGGGTTCAATCCCTGAACAACAAGGTCTCCTCCCGTCCTCACCTGCTCCAGTGACATTTCCAACGATGTAAAATCCATCCTGGTCAACAGATCCGGTCAAAGGAAGGGCAATGACGGTCCCACTGTACTCCTGGTCAAACACGGTGAGCACCAGGCCCCGCAGGTCTGTCATGGGGGGGCCGTGCAGCTCCACAAAGGACCTCTGCTGGCTGTGATTGGTCCAGTGGCCACTAGCCACCTCACTGATGACCACACCCTCAGGAGCTGGAGGGGGGCGGGGGCAGATGTTCTCCCTCAGAGGTGTGGGTGGAGCCACCTGATTGATGCATTTCAGACATTTATGATTCTAACGGTTGCAATATATCCAATAAGGATTCATCTGCATCAATTCAAATAGGAGGAAACACGTTTTTTTTAGCTTCTGCTTTTAAGACTACAAAAAAAAGACAAATATTTAAAGGACGAGTTCAACAGTTTGGGAAATACGCACAGCAACTTCCTGGAGTCTCAACAAGACTCCGGGAAATTACTGCACTTGGTGGAGAAACAGTCCAGCCCATGAGGTGCTGCTAAGGGGATTTTGTGACCTGTGAACCGAGCCAGGCTTGCTGTTACCAAAAACTGCACATAGTTTTGATACGTTGAGTTTGTCTCTTTGTCCGACACCATCTTGGGTTTTTTTCCCCAGTGAACAGAAGTGACCATATTTGGACTGTGGAGGAGTGACGTAGGGACAACGTATACGGCTCTAGTAGTGGTAGCCACCCGTCAATCACAATGTAGCCACACCCTAAAGCATACCCTGCTTTATGGTCTATTTTATTATAAATGGGAACATCATTTACCAAATGAACATCATGCTGTATTGAAGACTTGAACCTGGCGATTGAGACAATAAACGCATGTACACAATGTTTACTGAGGTGATAAATCAAGTGAGAAGTAGAGTCATTTTCTCATAGACTTCTATACAATTAGACTCCTTTTTGTAACCAGAGTTGTCGACCCCAGCTGGCCAGTAGAGAGAATGCAGGTTTAAGGCACTTAACCTTGGCTTTACTATTCAGAACCGGAGGTGGCCGTCTGGTTGTTACCCTCTGTTGCAGGTCTTTGTGCTGAGCTAAGCTAACAGGGTGTAGCTTCATATCTACTGCATTTATCATATCTAGTAATTTAATTCTCGGCAAGAAATAAATTCCCCAAAATGGCAACCTATTTCCTTTAATCACTGCTATTTGTATTCATTAGAAATTAAGGTTTTAATGAGCATTCGTCTTCTTTGTTATCCACAATGTTGTGTTTCTACCACTTTATAAAAGACATTCTCTACTGACTGATTTCAGGATGCCCTTTGAAACCTTCACACTTCGTACTTACTGAAAAAGCAGACAGGTCATAGGGGTAAAGGCCTCTACAGCGGCTGAGGGCCTCATCACCAGGCAGAACCTCTGGATCCTCCAGCAGAGGCAGCTGTCCTGGGGTCAGAGCTTTACTCAGCTCCTGCGCCTCCCTGTCTGATCCTCTCTGCCGGTACACCACTGCATCCAGCAGGCCTTTGGTGGGGATCCCCCTTTGGGTCGCCGACGGTTGACCAAACGGGCTGCGATAGAGTGCCACAGCATCTGGTCCGTTCTGGATGGTATTAGGAGGCAAGCGGATTGACGGAGCTGGCACCAACCTGTCGCTGCCCAGCAGAAAGTAGCCCTTAGATGTGGTGAAGTGTCCACTCATGGCGATCTCCCTGTAGGGTCTGTTGTTGTGTGCACTGAACAGCAGTATCCAGATGCCCTGCAGGGAGACCCGGCGTCCTGATGGGTGCCAAAGTTCGATGTACTCGCCGTCCTCAGCTGCGCCAGGTGTATCAGTGTTCAGCTCATTGATCAGGAAGTCACTGCTCCCCCAGGGTGGGAGGTGAGATGGTGAATCTGTACCTCCTGGAATCGCTAAAGCATAACAGGAAGCTATCAATTGGCTGCTGTTAAAGGAATAGTTTTACTTTACTTCACTTTGATTTTTGTTTAGATTTAACAAACGACATAGGACATGACCAAAGAGCTTCATAGATGCTGATAGGGAACAGTAGATGGTATATTTAGTTACCGGTGGACAGTATCAGGCCAAGTGCTTCCGGTCTTTGTGCTAAGCTAAGTGGCTGTAGCTTCATATTTAACAGACAGATATGAGAGTATTCTCATTGGCAATAAGTGTATCTAAAACCACAATCCTGTGGCAAATACTTTGTATCCACTGGGATTTGTTGAGATAATGGAGATGCTTACAAACACTTAAGCTTCTTAAACAAATCTTTTGAAGTTTCCATAAGGGATGAGTGCACTTCAGAGCACTGTTGCAAGACATATGAGGAGCGATATAGAAGAATGAGACAACCACATTGAAGTCTGTCTGCTTTGTTTATAATGCATTTGAAGATTATTATATAATATTATAATTTATTTTTCCATTCATTTCATGGTTAGTACAGCTTTAACACAGTACCTAATAATGGCAATAGATGGCAGTATTACATACAATATATAGATATATAATATTATAGAAATATGAACTTGAAAGTTATAGTATTTTTTATTAACTTGTTCATATTCATTAGTTATGATAGGATTAGAGACTATGACTGTCTTGTTTATATATACTTTGTAGTTTTATTTCATCATTTATCATAGAAAGAAGCTTTTGGTCTGAAGTTAAATAGAAATACACTGGCTGATTGTTTGTGTTGCATGCAGTAAGCCAACACATCAGTTTACAGTAGGATTGGTACTTTATCACAGATTTGTTAGGAACACACTGCTTTTATACTAACGAAACAATAATCTGTTGACACATTCAGCAGAAAGCATTGACTCAACTAAAGTGACAGACTGAACAGTTCATTCATCATTGTCCTCTGCTGATTCCCTCATACCAGCACCGCTTCCTGCTGCATCGCCCTCCACCTCCCCAGCCTCCTGCTTATGCGACTAAAGGACTGATACTGTTGACATGCTGAGGACTCAATAAGAGATCCTTCAGAGAGCAAAGTCTTTCCCACAACATTGGATTCCCTTAATGTGTCTCTGACTGATTTACTGCTGGTTAAAGATGAACGAAAAGCCTTCTGTTTTCTATTCCAAATTAAGTTTGCTTAACCTGGAGATCTGACCTGGGTGTAACCCAGGGCAGGGCTCACACATCATGCTTAATATTGTAATAAATAAAGATCTTAATCTCTCCAAATGATAAGGATATTGAGGTTCAAAGAGCTTTCCTGACCTCGAAAGAGTAGTCGAGAAAACAATCTCACCACGACGTCCATTTAGTCGTACTTTTGTATTTTATGTGACTTAATTTTTCACTGTCAAATTTTGACAAATCCAGCTGATCCTTATAATATTCCATCACACATTTAGCTCATCATCTGTTGGAGTCCACATGAATCACAGGCTTTCCTCTGTGCACCCGATACCTCATCTTTCATTTCTTCTTATGCCAGTTCCTCCTTGGAGCAGCATCCCCCACCAACTTTCAGTTGCTATTTTGCAATACGTGTCCACATTGATGAAGCTTTGTTCCTCAGTTGGTGAAGGATAGAATCTGTAACTTCTCCTCCCTTCACAGGTCAGCACACTGTCTGCGTATCTCTTTGTGAGATTTACTCCCTGGTTCCTCAAAAATAATCCAGTTGAAAGTATCCATGTTTGGCTGCCTATTCTTCTATCTATTCCATCTTTCTACCGCCAGTCAATCAGACACGCGTTACCTGTCATTCCCTTCCTTACTGCATGTAAACTGCAGAAACCCCTTTTCTTTGACTAAATCCCATAAGCTGCGTCAAACAACATTCAGCTCTCGATAATGTTAAGCGTCTAATACAAATTCATGAAGCGAACTCAAACACTTACCATTACTGTGCGGACAGATCTTAGGCCAGGGGCACTGGTTGGGCTGTGCAGGAGTTTGCGGGGCCTCCCAGAAGACCCCAGGATCTCTGGCCCAGGTGGCCACACCACAGCGACTCAGATAGAAGCCTCCCTCTCTCAAACTGACAAAATAAAACAACCCTTATGAGTTCAGCCTTATTTCGCAGGGTTATAATATTAAAATTGGTTTGTGTTGTATGAAACATTCATACATTTTGCAGTGGGTAAATAAAAGCACATCATTATGCTATCCAATAATATAGTCTTGAAATACAAAACACAATTGTAATGCTACATTTCTCTGTCGGTCAGTCAGTTGTTGCAACACAGACTGAAATATCTCAACAGCTGTTGGATGAATTGCCATGACACTCATGGTTCCCAGAGGATGAATCCTACTGCCTTCAGTGGATCCCCTGACTTGTCATCCAGCGCCACCAGTAGGTTGACATTTTAAGTTGTAGTAAATGTCTTCACGACTATTACATGGATCTCCCCCTCAGGATGAACTTTAATAACTTTGGTCTTGCTGAATGACGCTGAATTGTCATCAGTGAGGTGTGAATTAAACTTGCTGCTCAAATTTGAGCGTCATGTCAAAATCTATTTGGGTTACTTTGGCTCAGTGTGATTTAGAGCCTACGTGTGAGTACTGCTCCGGTGATGACACACACTTAACAGTAAAAAAAAAAAAAAAAAAAATCATTAACAAAGAGGAACAGCGGTCACAAGCTGACCCTTTCCAAGTAAAACACAGTTTCACAACATTGAAACTTTAGCCTCAAAAATAACCACTGAATGTCACTAATGCGTCTTCAAAATAGCTCATGAGCTTCACCAAACTAGCACCGATTCTTTCCATCTCTTGTATGTACTGCATCCAAATGGTGGCGGGGTACTTTTGAAATTAAAGGAGAGGGGGAAACTATCGTAGTGTCTTGCCTGTTGCTGAGTTGGTAGGGCTCTCTGCCCGGGATGAGAGTCTCTGAGAGGTTGGCACTAGGCTTGTTTCCAGGTCCAGCAAACACAAATGCATCTAGAGGCTGTATCTGGCTCAGTGGACTGCCCACAGGGAAATCTGAGGCTCTGCCACTGTAAACGGCCACTGCCCCGGACTCATCTCCTGGGAAGAAATCATAACAGGAACAAAGAATTTACAACTAAACGAAAGTGAGTGAATGAATGAAGATTTAACAAAACGAATTGAAGCTGATACGTATCTTTTCCAAACGATTAACTCATCCAGAGCGATAGAACAAGATCACACTGACCTTTCATGTAGCTCTTCTCTATGGTCACAGAGATCAACCCGTTCCTGGAGGTGTCCACATTCACATCCACGCTCACGCTGACCCTGTCCGTTCTCCCATCCAACACAACCAACACCAGAGGACCAGCAGCCGGAGCCTCCGTTAGCTCCACGAACCCGTCCACCTGCCCTCCTCCCAGCTTCAGCTCAGTGATGACGGGGCTGGTCGCCGGGGCGGCGGGCGGGGTGCAGTTGTTCCTCTGACCCGGGGAGGGCGAGGACACCTGAAAGCCCCAGCGGTCCTCAGACAGCAGGCACCTCTCGATCGACTCGTCCCCCTCGAGGGCCGTTTCATCCTCGACGAAGGCCGGTTCTCCTGGCGTCAGAGTCTCGGCGAGGAACTCTGCGCCCCCAGTGCGGCGAGTCATGTACACGGCGGCGTCCACCAGCCCCATTGCCGTGACGTTCATCTTCTCACTGTAGCGAGAGGCAGACGAGTGGTAGAGCACGATGGCGTCCGGGCCGTTCTGGACCGTGTTGGGAGGCAGGAGGATGGCTGGTTTGGGCAGCATGTCCACCGAGCCCACCAGGAAGAAGCCCCTGTCATCTGTGCTGTGGCCTTTGAGGTCCAGCACCTTGTAGGCGATGTTTCCATTTCCATTATAGAACACGAGGGTGTAGCCGTCCAGCGAAGCCCGCTGTCCACTGGTGTGATACAACTCCACAAACTCAGTGGTGTCCAGTCTGGGGTTGTCGGCGTTGATCTCGCTGATGATGAGGCAGGGGTCACCACCGACTACCACCACCACCACCACCAGGCAGAGACAGGCCAAACTGACCACCATGATTTACAGCTTCTCCGAATATAACCAGACCGCGGAGCTTCTGCAAAAGAAGAAAATGGCATTCCTCAGTCAAATAAAAGAACCGAGTGAGTGTGATTAAAATCAAGCAACACTGGGATCTCATTCACAGGACAACATAAGTGAAACACAATCTGAGCCACAGAGAAAGGACTGACTGGAGCACCAGAAGCGTGTTCGCAGAACTGTAATCAAATCTCATGTTTACTACTTGCAGACCAGACTCCCTAGAGGAGGAGAAACCTCCTAATATCATGAATGAGTCTTCTATGAGTCTATTTTTTCTTTCATGGTGACATTGGGAGTGCACGTCTTCGGCATGAGTCATGTAATGTTGCGAAATACGTTGGCAAGCAGACGGAAACTTTGCATGAAACTGTGAAATGCTTTTTTAAAAGCTGTGTGAATAAATAGGATCAAGTGACAAAAAACGGGCCAGATCGTCTAAAAAACACGAATCGGATCGGTGTCATTTCTCGGGAGCAAGTTACAAACACAAGATGCGGTTTACCGATCCCATTTCATCCCGAAATCACTCCAAAGTGTCTTTAAGAAGCTACATTTGTTCGCCCGACAGCCACTCTCTAGGGAAACCAGGTTGGGACAAACAAAACAAAAACAGACGTCTTAAAAAAACGAAGTCTGTGGAGTTCAATTCTGCGCTGAAATGACCTCCCATCTCACCACAGTTATTCCAGTCACGGTTGGGCTGCTATGCATTCATCTTTCCGTCGAAAAAAAAAAAAAAAGAAAAAGCCTGTCAATCTGCTTTCTATCAATGCCACACAAGGTCCTCAAAAAAAAAAAAAAAGGCGTCGTGACTTACTGTATTTTCTCGGTCCGCGTGTCGCACCGTCGAAGGCGCCTCCGGGTGAATGGTGAAATAATTTTGGTTAAAGTTAGTTTTCTGCCCTCCGCCGCTCCCTTCATTCACAAAGCAGCACTTTCTCCCCCCGGACTGTGGGCGGTCAGACTGACTGAGGGGGAAGATGCCTGCCAGGGGAAGCGCTCTCTCTCTTTTTTCTCTCTCTCTCTCTTCTTTTCTCCACGGCTCACACACCATTCAGCCATCCACAGCTGACGATACAACACCGGAAAACCCGGCGAAACGAAGAAAAAAGCGGGCAAAGTGTAACCCCTCGGTGGACGTTGCCGCTATACAAAAAACTACCCACGGTGTAATTGCTGTTTTTTAGAGCCAAAAAAAAAGGGGACGGCGGCCTCGAGTTCATCCCAAGAAGCCTCGTAAAAGACCTGAAGGGGGCCCCGGACCCCACTTTGTCAATTTAGGGGACAGCGGGTTCAGTGGTAACACTTTAATGGTTGATGTCTCATTATCAAGTTATAACTTATGTTGCTGTAGCTTTTCACCACACAACTATGATTTTTGAGTTATTAACAAAATATATCTTTCACTGCCTGTAAACTGTATATTATATCAGATGCTGGCTTTGTATTTTACCAGGTACCTCTACTTGTATACTAAAGATAACAGAAGAAGAAGACGAAAGATAAGAAGAGGAAACAACTTTATGTATGTCACACTTAAAAACAACAGTTTTTACAGAACACAAATGAGGATATTTCCATGACAAGACACAGGAAATAGATCATATTGAATAAAGTATACGGCTACTCTATACAGATAAATGAACCTCAAATTATCACCTAAAAAAGACAGTTGGGTTCACTACATGTTCAAAATATAGAGCATGTTTACGGTAACTGTAAACTGACCTCATGCTCCTGTATTTTATGCAACTTTTTAGAGCAAAACTAAGTCCCTGGAATATCATAAAAACATTATCAATATCTGTTATCATTAGAGATTCACCCAGAGCACTGTACGTTTCTATGAGATTATTATTATAAGGATGTCATAGTGGGTTCATTATCAGTGTAGATCCTGAAGCAGCACTTCTTGATGAAATGATAATGGTTTTTGATTAGGTCATGTTAGTTTAGCGGTCATCTAAATTACATATCAATTGACTAACTCGATTTAATTTACTTCCCCTTGAGAATTAGAAGAATGTGAAGCAAATGTTTCAATATGTTACGACACTACACATGAACAAACCTGTGAGACCATGTGAGACTTTTTATTAGACTCATTCCTCCAGGGGTGGAAGTCAGATCATTTACTTTAGTAAAAGTACCAATACTACAATGTAAAAGTACTATATTGCAGGTACAATTTTAAATCTTACCAAAGTAAAAGTACAGAATTATCATTATATTGGGCCTCTACAAATGGTCTAATCAAATTTTTTCTCTAGTCTTTGATTTTTAGTGAAATAATAGATAGTTTGATCTCTATGGGATTCAAATCGTTATTTGAATGAAACCATCGGGAAAGTTTAAAAAGTCACATCAACAAGTCAAGGACATCTGAGATATGACAATGGAAATAACTAGACCAGCCATGGTTTGATCTTTAACCGCTATTTTACAATTCATGTTGTTGTTTTTAATGTAAAATCTTAATTTGAAAAGTAACAGCTGTCAAATAAGTCTAGTGGAGTATAGTTATAGGTAGAAGCAGCATGAAATGTAAATATTCAAATAAAGTACAAATACCTCAAAACTGCACCTAAATACAGTACTAAAATTGACCACACCCAAGTTGGTTTCTGAGGATGTTGTTCTGCAGTCAATGAGAACAAGTTTTATTTCCGCATTCTGTGCAATCTCTTTCTATGGTCTACCATTGAGGTTTTTGAGGAACATAAATTGTTTTGTTGCATTTACTTTTATTTTCTTGAAATTAACATACACATGATTTTAAACAGAGTTATGAAGAAAATTTTTACAAACATCTTTTTCATTTTAATATTCATCTCTGTTATTCGCAATGAAATAATTAATATAACATTGAGAATAATACAGAGAATAATGTAAGTATATTTATATTCACCTACTTATCAAGCAACAAGCAAATATTATTGAGGGGTGCAGCTGGGAGATAAATTGATTTAAGTATATTTTCAGTGGTGAATTGTTTATTATGATCAATATTCAGATATACTATACATATTCAAATAGTATACAGTAACAGACAGAGTTCAAAAGGGGTGATGTGAGCAGCCACATAAAAGGAACTGAAAATATTGATCGTGGATCATCCTGTGAATGAACGAGCTTTCTGGTCCATCAACGGTTAGCACATGCTTCTCATATTAAAGATAAGATCGCACATGTTTTCGCTGTGATTTCTTTGTGCAGATTGCCTGAAGGTGGATGTCTCAGAAGAACACAATCACAAAACCAACCCATATTTTCACACTGAGCCTCACGTACCCTTAAACCCTTAAAGATGTGAGAGAAACGTCAGAATGAGACACAAATGTTCATAAAATGTACAATCATGTATTCTACCAGTTTTACCGAGAGGTAAAAATGTAAGTTTTTACTTACATTTCACAATAATCAGGAAGTGAGAAGAGGTGAGAAAAACAATATGTCTAAGTGTCACAAACATACAGTATCTGCTTGCTAAAAGGAAGTGGAAAGTGAGGCGCATCACAAATTAGAAATGTATCAGAATTTGTATGCTTGAAAAACAGCCCAAGCTGCTTCTTCTTGTTTTCAAGCCTTTGTAATGCAACCTTTTATGAACTGATGTGTGAATTACTTTAATACCTCTAAACGCCACAAGATGGCTCTATAAGCACAGCGGTGTTTTTTTATCTGAGGTACTGTGGGCTTGTGGACAAAATTAAACCTCCAGCAGGACAAAATAAGCAGACATGCCTCTAATAAGTGAGGTTGCCTGTGGTGCCACTGTTTACAGGGGACTCTGCTTGTACATAAAGGTCTTTCTTTGACGTTCAAGGTGCTACTTGACATAGCTGGGTGTGTTTTGACACAGAGAAAAGGTCAGTTGAAATGTTAATGATGTACACATTTTGTTGGTGTGTGCATGAAGTTGCCGCTGCAGTGCGAGCAGGTACTTGAACATTTCAATTGAACATCTGTCATAACACCGCTCAGCTTTTCAAGAGTCAACAACCTCGTTGACAAGGTACATCTAATTCATCTGGCTGGTTTGTTTTGATGACTCACTACTTAGATGCAGATAATGTGGAAAGATGCTATGCTCAGTGTAACATGGAGATCAACCTAATACATTTAAAGATTTAATACAGGCTCATCTGTCCAACAGAATCATTGTAAAGTCAATTGGGGTTTCATTTAATACTTCTAGGTAACTGAGGAGAATGGGAATTGAATAAATCTCAGCTGACAGACAATTACTCAACAGTGACAAAGCTGTATTTTGCCAATTCAGTGTAATACATCCGATGGAGGAATATCACTCAAAGAAATCTGAATCTGCATGCCAGCGGTGCAAAATAAAAACAGCAGGGTGCACGTTTCATCTCAGACTAATGTGCTGTCATGTCACTTGTTTGAGTGCGACAGCGATTGGATGTGAGTGTTGAGTCATGTTGTTAGAGGTGCAGACAGCCGGCATCATTCCTGACTCAATCATCAGATGGATTTCAGGAGCAGCAGTAGCAGGCTTGGGAGGATATTTACACCCACCGGGAGTATGGGACTAACTTCTAGACGGATCAAATACTGTAGCGGAATGCCACAAGAATGGAAGACCACATACACTCTGAAATCTATTACACTGCAGTTGGGCAATATTTTGAAGAGTTCCATTCACACTGAAGCATGGAGTTCTGCTTGGATGCGGTTTGATTAACCTGAGGGGAAATTGTATCCACTACAAATACAGATTACAAAGCATTGATGACATTGTGACTCTATTTTTGGGGCTTTAATATTTGAACAATAACACATTTCCTTTAGGGGTTTCCCCTGGAGTGTTTTTTTTTAAAACCTTTGTCCTATTAAATGTCAAGCCAGTTAGTGAATAGCTAACATTTAAGGAAGGCAAACCTAACCAAGTAGTTTTGTTGTGTTTTCTGGGGACTATTTTCAGAAGCGATGTAATACGCGTTTAGTGTTTGGGTATTTACAGCGGCAGCAGGCTTGTGGGACTGACTATAAACAGAGTCCATGTTCATTGCTATGAAGGAAGTTATCACCCAGTGCAATGATGTGACTCATTGATGTCTTTTTAATAGTTTTAGACAGCAATGGAGCTCTATGGCACAGAACAATAAGCAAAATCAGGCTTTACTACACGGGAAATACTTGGATGGATCAATTAATTGTTTGTTTTTGTTGGATCGTTGACAATAAGAGAAGTAATGATTATAACCAGACTTGGCGCCAACTTGCTGCTTTGTAAAAAACGGGCCTCAGTAACCTGGCTTGACAACTGATGTCATCAATAGCCTGGTATGATCTTTTCTTCATCCTGTATATAAATACGCAATCCCCTATCTGCAGCTATCGCACACCAAAAATGACCTTGCATGCTGCTGACCCTAAAAGCTTCCCTGGTGTGCCTCAAGCTAATTGTTCACCTCATTAGCCTGAACAGACATAAAAAAAAATGGGACAATGCAGTGGAGAGGGAGGCCATGCTAACAGGAGTGTTTGTACACTACAGTTCTCAAAGACATAATGACAGTGAATTATGAGAAAGGGCAGCAGTGCATCACAGACAGTAACATGTGAGTGTGTAGAGGTATTTCCACCTATGTGTGTGTCGATATGTGATTGGACGCACGTGCATGGTCTAACCAGGAGGTGAGGGTCTGACGTTGATGAATATTGTGGTAGGTCTGTTTTATCTCCCCCCTCCCTCCCCCCTCTCTCCCCCTCTCCTTCCTCTCTGTCTTGCAGGCACAGAGGAAGCTTTCTACCGCTTCTCCTCTTTTTTTTTTTTTTCCTCAAGAAAGAACCCAGAGAACCTCATCAGCATTCAACATGCATCACCAGCTCACTGAATCCAATCACGTGCGCTCGCCATACAGAGCGCATGCTTGTGTGTGTGTGTGTGTGTGTGATGGAGGGAGACAGGCAGAGACAGGCAGGGA